GATCGGAGGTGCAAGAGGAGTGATGGTCCCCAGAGGGTTGGTTCCCTGCGGGGTTTGCCATCACTGTAACCCTCAAACCACCCGCGCTACTGCTGGAAGTGTTTCTCGTCTGTCCGCCAGAACGAGCCCCAGATCGCGGCAACGGGACTCTGCCCCCTTGCGAGTAGCGGAGCCTGGTTCGCAGCTCCGAGATGGTCATCTTCCCGCAATGCGAACATGACTCATCCACGAAGGCCTCCTCAGCGTGCTTGATGCCCAGACATGTGAGGCAGCGATCGTGACCATCACGTCGGTCACCGACGTGACTCGGAGTGACCGACTGAAAGGGAACTGTGTGTATATGATATATCCTAAATATTATATTATGGCAAAGGTGCTTGCAATGTAAGAAAAATGTTCCCTTTTGTGATATAATGCAGTGTTTCACTTTGCAAAAGATGTGAGGCATTTTGCATTTTCTGTGTGCAATTCTTGGATTTGTGTATACATTTTTGAAAAAAAATAGAGGCAAAGTTTTGAAAATGCGTGTAATTATGAATATATGATATTAAGAATATATATAAAACATAATAAAAAATGTCAAAACACAACAAAATTACTAAAACTTCAACTAAAATTAAATGCAAACTATAATAGCATCTCAATGATACTATTATCATTGAAAAAACACATATACGTATATGCCCATTTACTGCTTTAATGCAAAATAAACAATGTCTAAATAGATATTTGGCAACTGGTTAACATTAATTTAATGATAACCAGCTCAAAAGTAAAGTTGTTTCAGAGGCAGAGCAAGTTATTAACATTTTAATGAACGATTTCAAAGACAAACGTTAAAAATCATTCACAACAAGAGCAGAATGATGCATTAATAAAGTAAAGCGGCTCGGTTTTTGATTTCACATCGACTTGAACAGGCTCTCAGCTCAAATCAGCGGAGAGTTTGAGGAGCAGATCGAGCGGGCAGCTTCGTCGCCTCTGAAGAGAATCTGTAAAGAAATTCAATCAGGTGGAATTAAACAGGGTGAAGATTAAGGCCAATTTGCATGAACCGCAGGGCTTCAGAGCCAAGTTGAATAAGCAAAAAATACTTAAGCAACTTATTAAACTCTTTCACCTTGAGGAAGCGCGGCGCGTGGGGGTATTAACTTCATCCTCTTATACAGTCACATCCGAATCACACGCCGCAAATCTGCCAGCAGCGTCGCACAATTAGCTCAATCAATATATGATTCAACACACTGACATCCTTTATTAGCCGAGGAAACCAAAGTGGTTATTTTGCATCAAAACAATAACGTGTGATGTCATCGGCACTCGCGCTGATATCACTGATATTCCTCAGCCGGTCATTAATCTAAATGTTATTGCTCGTGAATATGGAAGCGGGTGGATTATGTTGTTGTAGTGTTAACAATCGGCCCGTGGCGCACTGATTACGCCGCATTATGTGGGCCGCACTGATTCACTCAGGAGAGACAATGAGGAGCGGAGAAGAGGCCGCAGACGCTTGGCAGCTGCTTTCTTTCTGACAGGCTTCCTGTCTGTTAATTAGCTTTAGGAAACGTCATTATTGCGCTGTCAACAGCTCAGTCTCCCTTTAGGACACGCTTGGCAAATGAATCACAGCTAAAAGACATTAGGGGGCTTTTATTCGTGTACTTCTTTTTGGAGGTGAGTGATTGAAAAGGGAACATCCTTAAGGTCTTTGTCCGATATTTTCACGTTAAAAAATAAATACAGCCTCACGTAGTGTCAATCACGTTTACACACTGCCTCCGAAACTTTAGGCCAGTGTTAATTTTGTCAGCAAATTTTGATTTAGTTTTAGTCATAGTCTTTTGACTGAAATGCCATTTTGTTTTAGTCATATTTTATTCACCTGAATTGTTTTTAGTTTTAGTCTAGTTTTAATCGACTAAATATTATAAGATTTTAGTCGACTAAATATACAGTAAATGTAGTCGGCTAAAATCTAACTGAAATAAAAATAAATTAAAGCTAAATAGAAATATTAAAAACTAATGAATAATTGTTTTAAAACTAAATTAAAAGTAAAATAAAAAAGCGAAAATATAAAAATAAACATTAACTCAGTATAATAGTAAAATTACTAAAACTACAGATGCAATTTTTAAAATATTTCTATTTTATTTCAGCTTCACTTCAAGTAACCTTTTGTAAACTTTTGTTCAAAAAATAAATAAACAAACAAACAAACACTTGGAATTAAACAAAAATTAGACATGTTCTTTGGAAACTAACTGAAATAATTTTAAGTTAAAGTACTAAAATGACTAAACCTAAAACTGAAACAAAAATAAGTTAAAGCTAAATAGAAATATAAAAATACTAAGATATCATTTTTAAAACCTAAACTAAAGCTAAAAGAAAAAATAATGAAAATATAAAAATAAAAGATAATAAAAAAAAAATAGTGTATAAATAATATTTAAAAAAGACCCCGTAATCAACAGGATGTAGTGATAAAGTGGCCCTAAAAATATCTGGGCACTTTTGGACATTTAAGTCTAATTTAAATATATCTGAATTTCACTTATTTCACTTTAACTTATTTTGTTACTAAACCGTAGTTCATCACATTAACAATAAGCATGTTTCATAAAGTGTGACAACCAAAAAGCATCCAAAACTTTTTGTCTTAATTTTAAACAATAAAAAACATTTTGAAAATGCTCTGAAACCCTACTAGTCAAAAGTTTAGAACAATTAAGATTTTATTTTGTTTTTAAGTCTCTTCTGCTTACTAAGGCTACATTTATTTGCTCAAAAATATAGTAAAAACAGCAAAATTGTGAAATGGTATTACAATTTATAGTGTTTTCTATGTGAATATATGTTAAAATGTAATTTACAGCTGTGATCAAAGCTGAATTTTCAGCATCATTACTCCAGTCTTCAGTGTCACATGATCCTTCAGAAATCATTGTAATATGCTGATTTGCTGCTCATTTTTGATCTTTTTTTTTTGCTGTTGTGTGATTACCTTTCAGATGGCCCCTGCCGAGTGTCACAAAGCCGGAGGAGATGAAGTTGTGCATATCTTGACCACTGCGGAAGTTTTCTTTCCCATAATGCCCTGCAAAGACAAACACAGCAAGTGTTATTAATGAAAACATTCCTTTATACTTTCGCTGGCAGATTAGAGTCAACAGTTTGTTCAGAGGCAATTTTGGATCTCTTTTTATCACTCCAGAAATCAGAATCTTTTTATCAATAAATCAGAAAAAAAAAAAAAATTTCACCATGTTTTTAGGAATAAAACACAATATAAATCAGGCAGATGGGAGAAGGGTTTGAATGTTTTGGACTTGGAGTTTTGTGTATTACTTTATTTCATTTCCTGTCAGACGCCCTGTTTCATTGTATAACAGTTGCAATATATTTTACAAGTCAGCAAAACAACTCAATAGAAAGACGTGAAGTATAAATGAATGATATATGAACAAACACCTCTGTAAAAACCCTCAGAATATAAATTGGTGTATGTAAGTGCTGCTAAAATGGAGATTTTTGACAAACTGCAGGAGAAAAAAATCATTTTGAGAAATCATCCTTTATTGTAATTGAAATCAACAGACTGCAATAAAACAAATGCTTGAATATTTTATTTCAATTAGAGCGTTTTCTTCCCACTAGCCTTGAAAACATTAAACCTAAACAGAAAAAAATCCTATAAACAAAATACTATTTTTGAAATTTTTTAAAATAAGTATCTTCTGCTCACCAAGGCTGCATTTATCTGATCAAAAATACAGTAAAAACAGTCAAATTGTGAAATATCATAACTATTTAAAATACCTGTTTTCTATTTTAATATATTTAAAAATGCAATTTATTACTGTGATGCAAAGCTGAATTTTCAGCAGCAGTTTGAATTGAAGTATACATAAGCAATACACTTAAATGAGTATTTTGAATGTTTCATTTCCATTAGCCTACAACAGGTCAAGTTACAGAAGCAACATTTCCAAATTGACCAGTGTATAAATAACCATTGATTTTGCCTGTAGTGTCTTGCCTTAACTAGCCTTTATACCCCACATCCATCATATCAGGGCCTTGATTTCAGGCGTTTACTGAGAGTCATCTCAGCCAGTGAGTGATAAAAGGCACTCAGAGACGGAGGTCAAGACAAGGTGCTGCATTAAGTATTAATGGGGCAGAGGTTCTGCTCATTGACTCGAGAGGTTTTAGAGGTTACTACAACACACTCTCAACACACACATACATATACACACACTCATCTCGTATTCGAGCCCTGCTGGGTTAGAGGACACCGGGAAACTTCACCGTCTTCCTCTGGCCGTCTAATTGGACAGTAATGGTGTCCCTGACCAGAGCTGCTGACCTCAAGGTCATGAGACGGGAGGGTTGAGAGGTTTATGTGTGTCACTCTCATCTAGTGTTCATTTTGTCAGCTATTTTAACTTAAGTCTTAGTCCTGTGTCAAATGCACTTTTTTTTTGTTTTTTAGCATATTTATTCTAGTTTTAATAAATGAAAACTTAGTCACATTTTCATCATGCTGTATAATGGTTAAAAAAGATAAAAATTAATATATCAAAATTACAATCACAATGATTGTTGTCATTTGATACATTTATTCTTACATTTCATTAGAAGTATTGCACTTTCACCAATAAACATAAATCAATAGAATGTGGACTGGTACACATAGCTCTGATTGGGGGATTTGAACGTTTGATATCTGGCAACCGCAAACATGAACGCTCGCATAGTAGAGGTGTGTACCAAAGTTATTTTCGTAAACGAAAACTAAAACTAAGATGAAAACGATTGATGAAAAAACTATTTCTTAAACTGAAATAAAATAAAAATGACAAAATAATTGAAAAACTAAAATGAAACGAAACTAACAACAGTTATTGAAAAACTAACTGAAATAAAATAATAATTATCAAAAATAAATAATAGTTTTCGTAATCATTACGTTCTCACCACTTGGTGGAAAAATATATGAGCTGTGTGGCGCCGGTGTTCTGACGATCGCAGATTTTGCTACCTCCCATTAAAACAGATGGTAGCATAATTCGATAGCGAAAAGTGCTACCTATCAGATTTTGCTTCCAGCATGATATTAATAAGGTGCGAGGCTTTATTAAGATGTACACCTACCCCAACCCTAAACCTACCCTTACAGTAGGATAAATACAGTGTTGGTAGCATAATCTGATAGGTAGCATTATTTGTCAGAACACCGGCGGTTTAGGGAAATACCTGTAAATGGCGCATCGCGCACGTGAGGTTATCTGACGGAGAGACACAAAGCAGTTTAAAGCAGAGTCCTGCACGGTTCCTGTTTGGTAAATGTGCACCAGCAGTACTTAACAGAACACTCGATCCGTTATCCAACAGCAGCACTAATTTCATTCTGTACCAGACCAGAACCGTTTGACATAAAGGCCGCAAGTTGTGACCGCGCACCCGCATTAAATCTATTACATCAGGTAGGCAAATTTATTTATTTTCTCATGTAACACAAGCAATCAAACCAAAATTAGGCATTCTAAGTTGGTGCATGAAGAAAAACAGACACGCAGCGCAACGTAATAATTAACAGAAAAAAAGACGAGAATGCGCATCCTTTCTGAAAACAATACAAAACTTTAGCATAGCATCTTGTGATCACTCTGCCAGACTTTCGGACAAATGTGCAGAGCCTAAATCACATCATAAACACGCTTATAATTCTTAATAAATGAAAAGAACATATTCAAATATGAGTCTTTACTGTTAAATGCGATTGCCGTTATTATTGGATTTCATTAGTTCCAGTTATGATTTATGCGCAGTTGTTCACAGAAAAGTGAGCAAGACACGACAGTTACAATATATTATGATTGTTAAAAAAGAAAAAAATTTAGTAAAAAGGCTTGACTGCTTCATTTTGGCGTATATTTGTATACTTTTACCATTTAATCAATCTCAGCATGCATTAATTTTGTGTCGCTAGACATTTGCATCAGTCTTTCTTTGGCCTGCGCTCTGGAAGTGATCTGTTAATTCTGCTAAACTTTAATTAAAACTGAAACTAAAACTGAAACTAAACTATATAAAAACTAAATAAAAATGTGTTCACAAAATAAAAACTAAACTAAAACTAACAACAATATTAATGAAACTAATAAAAACTAAACTGAATTGTATAGCAAATTTGAAAACGATATTAAAATAAAACTAATTTAAAAATTCAAAACTATAATAACCTTGGTGTGTACAGCAGTCTGTAATATTCTGTCTAATTTTTTGACAAAAAAATAAAATAGAATAAATATGATTTTGGTAAAGTTTTAATTTTTTAAATACATCTTAGTCTCGTCTTTTATCCTCAATGATATTGCATGTTGATATAGTCGCAGTTATTGCTTAATGACCTTTAGTCAAGGGAAAAAAAGTGCGTCGAAGAAAATTTTTTGTCATAGATTGTGTTAATGAAATTAACACTACTCTCATCTTATTTAGATCACTTGTCAATCTTTTATACAGCTGAAGTGAAGTGAACCCTATAAAGCCTGTATCATATTTGATACACAAATTTCTAAGGTCTCTAAATGATATGATCAAAGCTTTGGTGAAAAACAATCTACTACATGCCTTCTGTCATCTAATTGATAGTTCATACTTTTTAGCAAGTAAAAGGCCTTTTATTATAATTGTAAAAATGATACTTCAGGTTGTGTCTTTTTGCTGTGAAACCTTTACTCATTTTTATAAAGCAAATATAAGAATCATTTTTATATTGTTAGTAATATTTTAAGATGGACACTTACCGGACTGAAGCAACTTAGCATTTACTTGACAGATAGTCATCAAGATAGATTCATCATTTTTTTTAGAAAAATCATTTTGGAATGTGAATATCAAATATGATATATCAGGCTTTTGAGGAAGGTTTGTTTGTTTATCTCTCAAACATCATTGCACTGCATTGCATTATATGTTTTGAAACTACAGAGCTTTGATCATAAAACTCAGCATTTATCATCTTACTAAGACCTATTATTGTGAGATATAGAGTGACGACTGATATTTATATCATTTTATGTAGGTAGTTTCTGTTATGATGATCTCATTGATTTACATTACAAGCTTTAAGAATTTCATCTTATTTTTGGCCAGATAAATATCAGCATTTGCATCAAACTGCATATTTTGCTCAGTTTGAGCCTCTGAATAAAACTGAGGTGTTTATTACTTCATATATTCTCCTATATTAGCCATAAAAGCCTGATGTATCAAATATGTTACTCAAGATAAAACACATATGCTAACTTTCACATTTGTCTTTTGTCTAAAGGTTTAATAAACTGTTCCAATTTCTATTTTATATGTCAAGCTTTACAGGGTCAATGTTATGATACTTTGCCATTTTCCAGTTTTAGTGAGTTTAAATAGATGAATAACTGATTCAAATGAACCACTTGAATGAACCAATTCACTAAAATGAATCAGACTTCTCAAAGCAAGTGAAAAGTGCTTCATATAACTGGAAAGTCACTCTGGAAAGTGCTTTCCAGAGGAAAACCTAAAGAAACACGCACAGACATGCTATTGCTCCATAAATCAATTGCATGCTGTGTAATTGTGTTGAGACATTTCTTGGTGAAGTTTTGAGGTGGAACAGAGATTACGGTCAATACTAACAGCAAACGAGAGAGAGAAATATACAGACAGAGAGAGAGAGAGAGATTCAGTCTCAAGAGGTGTCAAAAATGCCCTATTTTCAGGCGGTCTCTCATTTTGAGCCCTATATTCCCATTTTGTGTTATTTTTGTCACACAAAAATATGCAGTGCTTTTTATATGGTAGCCACCATATGCTTCATGAAACATCAGGATCTTTGTTTCAGTATTATAATAATGTCCATGATTGTATCTCCAAAATATCGCTAGCAGAACTCAAAAATGGATACAAATACACTGATAGTTCTCAGATTTCGACTGCAGACTTTGGTTTAAGCATGCTAGATATTTCATTCAGATATAAGGAATCACAGGTCAGTGTGGACAATTAGTTCCCAAGTGTCCCTTTCTGTATGAAATCAAAGACACGGGT